ACTTTTTTTTTATGCTACATAGTGATCTTGCAATTTGCCAAATTTTTTGTTGTGATTTTACTTGATACGTAGTAGTATAATTTTCAGAACTCATATCAGGAACGGTACGTAAATTGATTTTATTTCCTATACAGTATTTTTCAAAGGTAATTTATTATCTTTATTCAAAGAATTATTTTCGTGATTTGGCTAGATATTCTACATTAAACTAAATTTTTGTCAAACAACTATTTCAAAAAACCATAATCTATTCGATTCTAATCAGAAAATATTATTTATTTATTGTCAAATCTTCAATTAATTTTTTTAGGTCCTTAAGATCTTTAATATCCGTCTCAATTTGTTTAAGAATGGGCAGTTCTTCAATAACCTTCTCAATTTGTCTAAGAGTTGGCAAATCTTTAACAGTCCCCTCAACGTGTTTAAGAGAAGGCTGTTCTTCAGGTAGTAAAAGGACTTCATTAAGAGTCTTTGAAATATAAGGTTTTTTATAACCTAACCATTTATCTTTTTCGATATCCATTATATGTTCACGAAGCTTAATTGTGTGGCATTCATAGAAACTTTTAATATACATATTCATATAAAAGTATAAGTAATAGGATAAGTTTTTGGTTTGCATATTATTAAATAACTTACATAACAAATGGAAACCAATTTTCTTTCCTTCGTTGATAAGGTAACATGTATAATGATTCAATCTCTTCTAATATCTATATAATTAATAAGATCCTAAAAATGTATACATAATATAAATATAGTTTATAAAGGTCATACCTCCGCTTTTAGAATTAAAGACGACTCTCTTGTTTTAGTTTCACTTATTTCATTACTTAGTAATCCGATACTCAAATTCACTAAGTAAATGATTGCCACAAAAGAAAATATAGTCGTTAAAACAAGTAAAACTGGGTTATCATATAAATCCCAGTAAGAAATTGGCGTTGTATCTCCTATTTAAATGCACACATTTTAGAAGCCGTATTATTAATATGCACAAAAAGCAAAAAAGTTTTATTTATTGTCACTAGTGATGCTAGCAACTTTCAAAAAAA